TGCCAGAACATGGGAAGCAGCAGAAACGCTCGCCGCAGCCGTCTAGTAGCGAGGGTGACACGGACGGATCGTATGTGTTTGAGGCTAAAGAGGCCTGGAAGGATTTCCACAACTCCCTCAGACAGTTTTACGACAACGGAGAGCTGTGTGACGTCACTCTGAAGGTATCTGACGCAGTGACTATAGTCACACAGCAGCTTCTTCTGTTTCTAATTCTCTCTCTTGTTTTTCACTCAAGGTCGGAAACCGACTGATACCATGTCACAAACTGGTTCTGGCCTGCGTGGTGCCGTACTTTCGTGCCATGTTCCTCTCAGATATGGCAGAGGCCAAACAGGACTTGATTGAGATACGAGATTTCGACGCCGATGCCATCAAGGACCTGGTGTGTTTCGCGTACTCCTCGCAGCTGACGCTGACGGTGGATAACGTTCAGCCGCTGCTGTACGCGGCGTGTATCCTGCAGGTGGAGCTGATCGCTCGGGCCTGCTGTGAATACATGAAAGCTCACTTCCACCCCTCCAACTGTCTGGCCGTCCGCACCTTCGCAGAGAGTCACAACAGGGTGGACCTGATGGACATGGCTGACCGCTACGCCTGCAAGCATTTCAGAGAAGTGGTGGAGTGTGAGGACTTCATCTGCGTCTCGCCGCAGCACCTCAAGACGCTGCTGGCCTCCGGTGACCTGAACATTCAGTCTGAGACTCAAGTGTACAACGCCGCCGTCAAATGGCTCAAAGCCAACCTGAAGCACCATGACGTCTGGCTGGATCAGATCATGTCTCAGGTTAGCTGCTCAGGGCTGGGATGGAAAGTTTGTTGGGGATCATTTTTACACACACTTTTTAGTATGATAATTAAAAAGGGCTTTTTTGCCAGGTAGCCTATGTTTACACATACGAGGAATTTGTTTTGGTGACAGAAGCTTCCACAGCATAAGCAGAATGACAGTGACAAGACACAGATAATATAAAGAATAAAAATGGAATATGTAAATAGGAAATAACAATATACAAAGAATAAATAAATGTATAAATAGTGTTGTGTACATGTTTACTGCCAAGTTAAATGTTCATGAGATGGATTGCCTGAGGGAAGAGACTGTTCTTATGCCTGGCCGCTCTG